ACTGATAATCGTGTTCGCAAGCACTCGAAACAACGATTCTAACGAACTGATAAAAATGATACTCTCGGGAAGAACTTACGGCGGAGAGATTGTGTTTTGAATGAGATTTTCTGTGTGTGTCAGAATGCAGGGAGAAAGAAGACGATGGCTTCTTATATAGGCGCAAGGGAGAGCAGTTTTAAAACCGTCACGGAGCAGTTAACCGCGTGAGAAAACCGCCGAGCGGTTTGGCCGAAGAAAACCGCCTTAACCGCCGAGCGGTTTGTGAGTGTTTTGGGCCCAAGCCCAAGCCCAAGCCCGGTTCGGTTCGGTTCGGTTCGACGCGCGTGTGGGGTTTCCCACTTCTCACACTTTGTCCATAGATGTGTTATGTTTTGAACATAGACATATGAGTGACCATATATATACACTATGAAAAACTCCCAAACTTTAGATGTGGGACTTTTTAAGTGTCACTCACTTAACAACCAAGAGGCTTTTCTCATTCACATTTTAGAACCCATTTTGACAAAACAACAAGCCCACTCAATGGCCCATTTTGACAAAATCACGGTTCCAACAAGAAAATCTAACAATAGACTTATTATGATCTAAGGGATACATCGTAAGTTGTAATATGTCATTAAAACAATGTACTCTCTCTGGATTGTTTTAAACATATTTTTTGTGCCATATAATGTGTTTCATAAGTATTTGAATGTTATCCAATGACTTCAACTTTGAATGTTAGAAAACCTTATGAAGAAAACGATGCATTGTGAATATGTTTGAGAATAACTTTTAAAGAAATATTTTAGTAGTGATTTTTATGGATTTTTTCTTTCACAAAATAACAATCTGCGTATGTTTTATTTTAGCAGTGGTATCCAATTTCAAAGAAAGTAGAACGGAAAGTGGCTTCGGAATTGGCGGAGAAGCATGGAACCAATTTTTTTTTTTCATGTCTCAGACCACTTTTTCAACTGAACATAAACGTAAGTTGCGCCGTTTTGTTACTGCTCTTTCAAGTCTCGATCGAGACACATTAGCCTCACTGGCTGGGTGTAGTATATGTGATAAACTATTGAAGATCATGTTCTTGCTGCTCCTGTGTCCAAACTCTTCCCTCTGTTTGTTGTTCACAAGTTTGATGGAGAAACTCAACTCGGGCTTCTACCATGTGAAGATGCGACAGAGAGATTGATTGAACCCCGAATTCCATCTTAGAGACAAGCCTTTCTCTGAATTTATACGATATTTTTGCAAACTCCGAATTCCAAGACCTTTATTTTCTAATACAAGTAGAGGAACTAGAAAGTAAACTGTTTTTATATGATATACATCTATCTATATATGAGTTCAAGGTATTATTATCATCATTGTTCGTGATGTGTGTGAGATTTTATTGACCTGAGAGTACCTTACGGTTCACATAATCAAGTGGTGGAAGAAGGAACATCCGATTATTTTTGGGTCTGCATTTTGAAACACAGGATGATCATTGTATGATTCTGAAAAATTAGTGGACGGGATTGAAGCCACTGGTAGATCGAATATTATAGCTAGAGAAATCATTTGAACAAAATGACGGACGGATAATTATTAATATACATAGCTATACTCAATCAAGTTCTAATTTTCCAAAACTTTGTTAATTTACTGTTTCACTATATTTCTTTTTGTTTTCTCTGTATATATTTTGAGAATATTGTATAATCGTGACACATATACATGTTTCATATATAGTATAACCTTTTTAGTATAGTATCTTAAAATAAAATCAGCTACTATCTTAAATCTTATAATAACTATACTTAATTTTAATTCAATCAACTTTTTTTTTAACTTTTGTCTTTGATGTGTTGAATTAATTCAAATAATTTAAATAGTTCTCAATTTCAATAATTTTAGAAATAACATATAAAATCTTGAGAAAAAACTCGATATCTTCTACATTTGTGCACAATATATTATATATATGGAAAAATCAATGCCAACTACACCAAGTATGCTAGAATACATGGGAAACCATCCCAAGTATGGAAATGTGGTTTTAACCACACAAATATTAATAAATATATAGTGACATGCACAAACTATTCCAAATTATGTTGCAAACTACAAATCCGTTAACTCCTAACAGAATCTGTCTAATGGGGTTTGAAATACAATTTTGACAAATTCAAACCGATACATTGATTAAAATCTGACCCGATAACAATTTTAACCCGACCGACCCGATTTCAATTTTAAAAAAGAATAAGAAAAAATGTCCCAAATCATTCGTTCAAATTAACGTAACCCGACTTGCCCATCTTCTTCTTCGATATGTTTCATCGTGAGTTAGGGTTCTGTAGAAGAATTTGGAGTTTTCGATTTGAGGGGATGATGCATCCCCCAAAACCGACATACCCGCGGCAGTTCCACCTCGGTCTATCCCCACGATGAGGTCCATGCCCATGACACGATCAGGAGCCCGAACCTTGCAAGAAAACGTCAACGACGCGGTGAAGGTTTTTCTAGCTAAGGACGACATGSACTTAGCMACCCYYCCCGATCA